TCTCTGCTTGCGCACCTGCCGAACAGCCACGTCGGTTTCAATGGGACATCGCTTGTGCTTCTGGAACACCTATACCAGTGGCGATTAAGAATGACACGTCGATGTTGCAGTACGCGGACATAGACATTTTCAGCCCATTCGGGTATTGGCGACAGATTTTCCACGGGGCTTGTGGTGGCGCAGTGTGTGATGCAGAGTGCTAAGTTTATCTAACCACTTGTCTGGTTTCCCACCCCTACGCGTTCGTTTATCTGAGGCGTGTAGTTTTAGAATTAGGCGAACTGGACACTTTGAAACCTGTGACTGCGCGTAACATCGCAGACCTATCTGTCTGGTTTTTGTCGATAACTAACCCTGATTTGCACCCAATCGTTGTACAGGTTAACATTGCTCGAGACTGCAGAGATAAGGTATTTCGAGTACTAGCGTTTGGTAGTCTAAAATGTTTAGTAGGATATGGATAAGCTGCTTCCACACGAGTAACGCTGCTCCTAAGGAAAACTAGTTCGCTTAAACCGACTCGATATCTGAAAGACACCGGAGTTCGGAATGCTGTATGAGGACCGCCGAATGATGTGGTAAATTTGAGTAGGGTTCATCTTAGGAGGAGATCCCTTCGAGGTCTGTGCAACACTTAACGAATTAGGAATTCCAAACCATGAGTTTTCCACATGTGACCCTACCCTGGATGTTGTGTTGGATGTCGGGGTGAAGTCTTGACCGGAACATTCAGAAGACATTGGGGTGAAAGCGTTGGTCATTCAAGTCGTTCTGGGAATCTTTTTACGTTGCAGTATCTAATCTTTGCAATGAAAACATTGTGTACACTGGAGTTAGTCAGCTGTGTTCTGCTACTACAATTAGACGCTGCTCCCGTCGATTATAGACTATAGATTAATGTAGGATGGCGATTAATAATGAGACGTTCCGCCTGGGACTACATGCTTTGCTTAAATTCCTAATTAAGTGCGGCATATCACCGGATTAAATTTAGGATCTGGTCCAGTCATAGCATGATGATAAACCACTCCTTCCAATTTCTTTAAGAATTTGGCTTTCGAATAGCCGGTTATTTGTTCGTAGATAGATGGCACTAGGTTGATTAAGAAACGGAAGGCTTGCGGCGCAATAAATGTAAGTATCTTTCCACTATCCTATGCCGCATTTGTTTGACGTAATGACATAATTGTCTGTCTCAACTATTCAATTTCCACTTACGTAGCATGTATGTGTAAGCCTGCACTTTTCACCTACTCACCCGAGTAACACGGACTGCAACTTCGCCAAACACCTATCGGCATGAACAGTGCCTATAAAGCAAGCTGTCATTGATCACTTAGTCACACTGGAAAAGAAGCAGCGAGACGCATCGTATTTATGACAGTACTACTCTCGGGCAAAAAGATTCGTATCAGAATTACTTTCCTATGATAGCAATGCATCAAATGATACCAGACGGTGTATGCAAGCAACATTTGTGGAAAATGCTTGTATTTATGCTCTACTAGGTAGTGGCCTTTTTAACATACTAGTTTACATGGTGCCGCCTATCCGTAACAATACAACCAGCGCATGTGGTAGTAGACATTAGTGCAGAACGCACGTATTTTGAGCAACTTCGTCTAAATGAAGGGAAAGCGTTCTCTGTCACATTCCGGTACAACTAAGCTGCGCCACCCCATTTACGTCGCACAACATTCCACACGCTGTTTGCGTGCATTTCCTTGCCGGTAGTGTTGTCCACTCACCAAGACCCATCGGAGTGGAACGCTTGCCCGCCTGTTGGGTATTAGCTAGACCTGTGGGTCGCACTCAAATGTGGCCCCGCTGACCGAATACAGCATGAGTCAGCATCGATCCGATCGCTTTTTGTCATTCTCACCGTGCACAAATGTTTCCAGGGCTGTTATTGAATGGCTCGGTGCGCACTGTTACTGGGTCGACTGAAATGCCACCAAGTTCAAGCGGCTCTTTATTCATGTATATGGTCGGTGAACATCAAGACCTTCATTTGTTCATCTGCGTTCGCACCTTAGCTAGTCAATTGAAAGATTTGAGTACAGTCGCTCAGAATATCTCCCTCTCCCCCTTATTAACATTGATCATTAGTGGAATATTGTCAGTGCAGAAAACATCACTAGGCGTCGTTAATTTTATAATTTATAATTTGATAATTTGATAAATGTATTGAAAATAACTTTAGCTTAGAATAAAAATCGTTTGCAATCATACAGAATTGCACAAGGTGCATTGATCGTTGATGTAAAGTGCCGCCTCTTTGAGTCCATGTGACACATAGATCCAGTAGAAGGGCATGATTAACGTAAGCTATGATGGCGAAGTTTAGGTAACCAACTGCTCGGAGCTAAGACCAAGATCTAATCGCGCATTTTTTGAAAATGTCCAGTGCTGGGTAGAGAGTATCGGGGTTGGGAAACTCGAAGGGAAAGGTAATTCCGTCGCCGCTATAGACGGCTGTATTGTTTAATCCGTTTCAGTCAGTTACCTCTGAGTTTGGTGTTGTGGCTAGGTTACAACAAATGGTTGCGTTGTTGGTTGTGGTGACACAATATTTGGTACATACTATGAGTTCGCTGCGCAGCGTCGTCGTAAACCCCAAGTGACTTCAACCTTCGCTGGTACGAGTGATTGCGTAAGACTTTGACATACTTTGCTACTCTTCGTTGAGTCACACCAGCACCTTGAGGTCACGGTTCAACCAAGGTTACCAAGCTGTGATGGCGTATTCAATGCGAGACCGCACGTAGGAATTGTGCATCATTGGGAAGATTAATGGTTCAAATCCCAATTGCTCTTTGCAGCAGGTCCACATGTGTTTATTTCCTCTTTTCGAAGCTACCACAGCCCGTTTGAATAGTTGTCGTCAATATGTATGAGGATGCCAACGTCACTTGACTAAGAGCTGGTCTGTAATCCGAGTGCCCCAAACACATGCGTGTAGTCATGTCCATGGCGTAATTGCACTATGCGACATGTGTCTAGGTTGAATGGTACGGCGTTTTGAATTGGCCAGTTAGAAATCGTGTTAAGATTGCACTGGAGCCATTTGTGGTCGTAGAGCCCTCTGATCCTTCGCCATATCTTGATGTAACCTGCGAGCAAATCTGAACAAGATTGTCAAAACTGTCTAACGGAATCGTTTGCTTTAAGTTTACTGGTGCAAAAATTACGGTTAGCACAGGTACTTTTAGTAAAGTGAGTGTGCTTTTTCGCATTTTCGCTTTATTTATCTCTCTTGGATTAGGTCGTTTAGGCGATGTCGGAAGTAAGTAATTGCACTGCCGACGTTGTCTACGAAAACGACCGATGTGAGGCCGCGGAAGCGGATTGTGCTGCTGCATTGCTTGTTAAATACCACTTGAAGCAAATATTTTCGATGACAACCTGTGTGGCTGAATCTCCGATTGATGTTGCTGCTGAAATCCAAAAGAAATCTATTAAGTTCATTGTGACAGCTTGAAATCCCGTTAATTTTGGAAAAGGCTGTGCACAAAATCGATAACAACCATAGGACAGATGACAAAACATACAATTTTGTGCATTGTCTGCATTTTGGGTTAGTTAACGTTAATAACCTAATGTACGGATTCAAATATTGTCCAGCTTAGTAATCATATGGAGCCAGTGGCAATTACAAAAACTATTAGTTGGATGTGGTTTGCTGTGGTTCAGCTTCGTTCTCAGCACGTACAGGGTTTAATGTTGAGATAGTAAACTTACCACTCCGTTTCCATCCTACTCCCAATTATGTTCGGTCTTAGTTTAGGAGACCCCTGTCTGCCTGTATATGAAGAAACACTCGTTATGTCCAAGAGGTGAATGAGCGATTGTCATATCTTTCTATACTACTTGCACTTTTTACGGTTTGTCAGTCTTCCTCCTGTTTCTCCCATTCACCTGAGGAATTCACTGCAGACTGTCATAATTACTAAATAGCATATCGAGCGAGCAGAAGTTAAATTCTAAAAAAACATATCTTCGCACAGCATGTGTCTGCACGGTAGATTATACTCTGGCAACTAATGAGCATATAATGAACAGCCTTAATCATGAAAATATATCGCTTCTGGATGACTAGTCTAGTCTGCTTCTTCATTTAGCAGGCTATAGGTACACGTTTGCATGCATGCGGAGATTAGGGCAGCTGTTTCTGCGATCCCGCTGACGGAAGCATCTGGTTGAATCAAACTGTTATTCATATCGGACGGGCAGCTTAAGTCACACTGCCAAGACATTTACCAAAATACACTTAACGGGATATGTTAGCGACGTAAATTCTACTCGACATGATTCGTATTGGTTAGCCGTCCTCTGTTCCTTTGACAAGCAACAAGATCTTCAATATCTGAAGTAATCTCATGTTCTTCTAACGCCTCATTTCGTTGACAGTGAGCAATAATTTTTACCTCTGGCTTCTGCTTACAATATGTTTTAGGGTGGATCGAATGAGTATGTTTCTACTAAGAAGTGGAACCATGACGTTCGATTAAACTGTCAGACACAGATTTGTCAAAAAATATTGTGCTCGCCTTATAGCTTTTTGTTCAATGAAACAATTTCCGCAAAATTACGAAGATAATGAATGGCCAGAATGATTTAGCAGGGTTGCTTTCTTTTACAGTATGCACTATTTCAGGTAAGCCAGTGAGGTGGCTTCCTAAGTGCGATAATCTAAGGATGACCATATAATAACCTACATTTTCATGCCAATGTTGAAAAATAATCCACAAATCACAAATATTAGGCCGGATTAGGTGTTAATACCAAGTAGTGTTGTCTAAGCTGCCCTACATGCACCGTGTTCATTCCAACCCAGCATGTTCTAGGCAGAAAAATTAGCGATACAACCAGTTGACACATTCAGTTTAGTCACTGCTGTTCTCCGAAAAGCACTCAAGGGTACCAACATCTACACTCGTCCGGCTTAGCCAAGCTCCGCGTCAACCGTTATTCCAATTGAACATGAGAGACAGCTGCAGATGGACCTTGACCAGTGTCTCCCATGGCGCAAGGGTGAACAATGCGAGCTATTGGTCCAAACACCACCTGACACCAACATGTGTGGCCAATCAGACTCCGTGATTGTTGTCGATGTGATTGGTTCTCTAGTGAAGGCAACAAATATAACCGGCGCGGTGTCAGATGCCCTGGATGGTTTGTTGCCGATCATGGCCGATTGCGGTGTGGTTATTCGGCATTTGGGGACGCACTCTAACTGCGGAGCACCAGGAGGACTGGTGAGTAGGGTTCACTCTGAATCGGACTCCTCCGGGTTTGTAAGCGGTAGCGCGAGCAACTCGACCTTGGATGGGTCAACGGATTCCATCTCAGATGCGTCGGCTCCGCAACCACTCCCTGGTCACCGTCGCTCTTCTGGTCAGCGATTGGCGAAACTAATCAGCGCATTTACTCCTTGTCGAGGACGCACGGCTAGACGTAGTCACTCCCTTGGAGGTCCGATGCGCTCTGGTGAAATGCCTTATGTGCGAACAAATCAAACTCACGACATTGACAGTGTGGTAAGTTATGATCTTTACGTAGTATTGTGACCATTGTTCCTTGTGCATATCGGTCGCTTTACATGCCACTGCAACGGTGGTTTGCTCATTTGCGCCCACAAGTGTAGCATTACCTATACCCTCAGTCTTGGCACTGAAAATGATGTTAGCTACTTAGGTGAAAAAGTGAACTACCCGTTCTTGACATTATGGGATAATAGTTTAGATCAACGATATTCGTACTTTATGAATCATTTATAGTTTAGGTCGCATGCTCACGGTTGAGCGACCGCGACTCATCGAGTTCTTGGTGATATACTTTGGAGGTTTATTTCGTACGTACGGTAAAGCATTCAGTCAGCTGCACAGGAGATAAACTGTTCGCTTTAGATTAATTACACCTATGACATCGGATTGGAAACCATCAGCCGATGCAGCGCTAGATTGTGAGTATGCTGAGCCAACTTACTGTACTAACAATTCATCCATGTATTCGCCTGCCCCTGGAATGAATATTAATGCTAACCATTGTGTGCCGTCATACTATATCCGGGGTCAATGTGCTCGGAAGATTTCCTGCACCTAAGCAACCAGAAGGTTGTAATTTGTTTCCCACGTTGAGATCCAATTTTCAGGCGGTTTTGCCTAATGAATCTATCATTTTACCAATCCGCCTGCATCAGTTCAAACAACACCAACAAAACGAGTCACGCTCATTCGCTCGGTTTGAAGGCGGCGTTGTCACATACCGATGATCAAACAGTTCATTAGATTTGGGGGTTAACGAATCGACGAACATTGATATACTCATGAGTAGGTGCATTTTATTTAATTATTTGCTGTGGTACATATCTACCGTCGGGGGACGTTCGGTGTCAATATGGTCTTCTACAACGTCCGTAACTTTCATGTCATTGGGGGATAAGGCGCACTATGTCGCTGTCAGCTTGTAAGTCATGACGGTCCGAAGCTGTCCCCGTGGCCTGGTGCCATATGCTGCTGACTGTTGATGCAAGCCACTGGTAGTCATAGGTTAGAATCCTAATAGATCCGATGGCTGCACACTACTGATAACTGCAGTCTAGCGCTTTCCCGGGCATGTGGAGAACTATCGTTTCTGGGAGCGGGTGGAACTAACTATTAATTACTCGTGTCTGTACGTTTTCAGAGTAATCCAACTTTCGTTATTTATGTTCAGGTGCGCCCCTTTACCTAATCAGAGTTGTTGTTGTTACGGTACGGCTAGTGGGTATTACACTTGAACAAAGCGTAATCGTCCAATGAGCTCACATAATATCAGCATAAAATCAGCACATAAGTCAGCCATGCAGCCACTTCCGGTCACGTGTGAGTCGGGATACGACGTCACACGCATCAGCACGGCTGCAAACCAATGACTTGTGCAGTTCAAACCCAAAGCATTGCGCACCCGGCTCGAGTGATGTGTATGCCAAGTTACGTGGTTTTAACCTTACGCTGCAAAACCGGTTATATCTGTCTTTGATTTGACGTGTGCCAGGGGATACGAACAGGCTGGGAACTGCTATCTTTTCTATCTGTGCATCTGGTATAATCCCTTAGGTTGTCCCAAACGAAACCGGACAAGTTTACCTCGTCGACTGTCGTTTCGTTTTCAGCTACGTGACCGTCGCGCCTCTGACAGTCCCGAGCAATCTCGCTTGCCCCCATCGATCGATGTCCTCGGAAATCATAGCCATTCAGTTGAGCTGAGAGGGCAGTTTCCTCAACTAATCCACTCTGTCAAACTGGATATGCCTACTGTGGAACCGTCTTCTGAAGTGCTGGAATTTCGTCGCAAATGGCCAGCTTCCTTTGCAACCTTGGTGACTAACTATCTGGGATTTCTATCGTTCAGTCCGGAGGATTCGGCGCAGATAAGAGAGGCCCTAGTAAAGGAGGCAAAGTCAACACCGATCACTACAGAACTGAACATGGCCTCGGCATCTATCACAAAGCGGGGATTCACACCGCAAAAGATGATCCATTCCAGAGAGACACGAGGTTGTGGTGAGCTTAGTTTGGCGTCTGTTTCTAACATGAACGGTTAACTTCATTTATGGGCTTTAATACGTGATGGTTCTATTTTGTTTTCCAGATAAGGATTTAGAACACTGGTACATTGTGACCAGTACTATAATCAGCCATTTATTGCAAGAAAAAAGGTGTGAGTCCAACAGGTATTTGTCAGTGTTTTGTTCAACTTATCGATTACTTATTCATGGGCAGCATTACAGTTGCCAGTACAATACATGGGTAATATGAGTACTACATCGGTAACCACTGTCGTTCATTCCCTCTTGCCAAGACCTCCATCTATAATTTACCCATCACTTACATTTTCCCCAACACAGACAAACATCGCTTCATTCTGCGCCGACCGGGAAATCACTCATGCGTAAACGAACTGGAACGCGCCCTTTTTCCCTCCAAGCGACGTCCCCTTTCAATGAGCGTGAGAAATCATGCGTCCGACACACTGGACGATCGTTTTCATCAACTTCCTGCTGCGGCATCAGAAATTGTTGGCATTTTAAATCGATACGACTCGTTGGTCATCGCCTGCTTGCTATCTCGTGTCCTGCGGCGCCGTGGCATTGGTTTGATTCCACCTCATCTGCGTCGCCATTTTCTATCGCTTGTCAATGGAGTGAATCAAACCGAACCGATTCAACGCAGAGCTATTCGTCTGTTGTTCCAATTGGTCCACAGACGTTTGATAATTTCGGTGTTGCGACCTTTGTTGGATCTGCTTGCCCACGTGGCGAATGAGCCCGAATGTGAGGTGGACCAGTGCAGCCTGGCCGTGCTATTTGCTCCCGTCTTCTTCATGGATCGAGCCACAACCACACCGGCATCTTTGGCCAACCCATTGCCGAGTCACGTGGTCGAGCTGTTCGTATCATTTGCTCGCCGCGATCTGCAACAACATCAATCGGTTTCTAGTCTGTTCCAAATCCCTGTTCTATTTCAAGAGGACTGCGCACGAAATTTACGACTTCTCACTGTAAGTTCTTATCGTACTATCGTGCTACGGTTTGGCTGCATAGTTGGTGTATACTGTCCCCTTGTTTGTGAACCTGACAGGGAGACGGTAATGAGTTGTGTGTGTGAGGGGGGATATAAACTGATTAGGCACAGATGTTCGTGGACTGTTATGGGAAGGCTCATTAATTGGTTTGCATTGGGAATTGGGTGCCAGACGCATCATGACATAAAGTTCGACTGGGTTCACGCATGGCTGCGCACCGCTTTGCGGTCTGTCGTTGAAATTCCTTCATTCTTCTACTTGGAGCAACCAATGTAACAGGGCAAACAAGTGCATACATGGTGTTATTAGATACGCCAGGCTTGGATGAGTGTCACACTTGGTCAAGTGGGCATCCCATGTTCGACCGCGACTGGTGGAATTCAGCGTTATCCGCAGCTTTACACACCCATTCGGGGAGTCTGTTAAACTCTTTTCCATGGGTTAACATTGCATGAGCATTTCCTGATCCTTCATTGCACCAGAAGCAAAGAACATAGATTAGCTATTATCTAGTTTAAGTTTAAGTGGGTCTGGAACAGTAGGATAAATCCCCGTGAATGTTCCTTCCGTGGCGCGTCGTCGATCCAATTATTATTTGTCAGCGATAACTGGAATCCAGAAGAGTCAGCTGAGCGCGCGCAAATCACACCACGGTCAACCAATTAATCCTCACGCGACCTACATTAACAGTCCCAGCCGCACCGGTCACGTGAGATAAGAAGCAGAAGTACGAAAGTAATAAGAGCGTCAAGAAAAAACGTAACAGATTTAATAATTCAATAAGGCGAGTAAGCTAGTACGTGAAGGGGAATGTAAAGAATTTAAGGCCAAGAGCGTCGAGTCGGTGTTCGAACTCTTTCACCGTTGTTGCCAATACTACATTCTCGGGCAGTGCATTCTAGGAATACACCTTTCGGCGTGATAAAGAAAGTCCGCCTGGACTCCATCCGATGGAGGTTTGTGTAGCTTCATCGAGTGACCTCGGAGCGATGGAAGCCGATCCGTTTGGAAAAGCCTAGATATATCGGGTCCGATTTTACCGGTAAGTATGCGATAGGTCAAGACTAGGTAGCCTCTATGGTGACGATAATGCATTGTGAACATTCCCAGCGCAAGTAGTCTTTTTGGGTAAGAATGGTTCCGTAGTCCATGAACCAGTTTGAGTCCAACTCTCAACACTCCACTGACATCATGTCTCTGACTAAGCAAGTTGGGCAAGCCTGGATGCAGTATTCCAAGTGTGGCCTGACAAATACTGAGAATAACCTAACAAACATATCGCCCGTGATGGTCCCGAATACCCTGCGGATCATCCACAACATTCTGAAACCCTTGCACCTAGCTTTCCTCCAGTTCTCACTGGATTCAAGTTCTGAAGACAACGTGACCCTTAGGTCTGCCAATTGGGGAACATGGTGTAGTTCATAACCGCCAAGCAGGTAACGCGTTTTGGGGCCATTTGGCCCTAATCGTAAGATGTAACAGTGCATAATTTATGAACAAGTGCCACAGAGCAGCCCAGTCCCAAACTTTCTCTAGGGCCGGTTGTAGAATTTGGGGTCCTTTCGAAGTCAGACACTGTGTGCCAAAACTTTAGGTCATCTGCAAAAACATGAGAGATGGTACCTCCAACATACATAGAAAATAACAACGAACCCTGAGGGACCCCACTGAGGACTGACTGACGGAAAGACATACTGGACCCCACACGAATGCACATCTCTCTCCCTTCCAGAAACGTGGTGATCCATTTTAGTGCACGTCCTGATATTCCATAGTACCGAAGCTTCAAGGAGAGGCGAGAATGTGATACCGTGTCGAACGCCTTGGAGAAGTCAATAAACGCTACATCTACTGCATGACCCCGATCCAAAGTATCCACCCAACATTCGCTTGCAACTAGCAAATCAGTCAAGCAGGAATGACCTTCTCGAAAACCGTCTTGAAGTGGACTGAGCAGAACGAACTCCCGCAGGTGGTTTTCAACACATCCCTGACCAACTTCTCCAATACCTTGACCAGTACGCTTGTCAAACTCACCGGTCTATTATTGGCAGGGAGATGCTTGTCGCCCAGCTGATGGACCGTATTTACCTATTAGTTCGAATATATACTGGATTGCCTGCTTACCGCGATTATGTTTTTGGTGATGAATGTTGTGAGCTTGAGTAAACATCAAAGGCAACGAAAATCTGTCTCTCATCGATGATCTCAATCATTCAGGGGCTAACGGGCTGCTTGCGCTTTTAATTTTATATACGGAAACTGATCAACCCATATAGACCATATTGGTTTTGAAATTCTAAGGGTCGGTATCCCATTTGCCTACAAGTTTCTTGCTCTGAAATCTGTTTTATCCAGTCTCAACCATTAATTGTCCGCATGAATTTTTACTATATATATTTTTGTTTATATTTAATGCAGTGCCCTAGAAGTATCAGCTCTATAGATTACCACCCGTATTTAACAGACAACTCAGATTACTTAGTTTTTACTGCATCATTGTGTAACGCCTGCGGAGATGGAAATATAGCGATTTGCGCCGGAAATTAGTCTGCAAGATAGCTAACTTTATGAGATTATCCACAATGCATTGGATACCTACGTCGGAATGGGGGATTGAAATGTGTGATTCATTTACAACTGCACAGAGTGCGACCACATTGTTATCGGTTTCTTCTTTTCTATATTTCGATAGGAGCACGATGATCCCCCTTTATTCTGTAGTCTGAGGTATTGTGTGACCATGACTCAAAGCCCAAGGTGTAGAAGTGTAACTCCAGACACGATTGTTGGATCGATTCCAACCGACCCAGAGGCCAAGTCTGTCTTTCCAAAGGTAAGCGTAACTCATGCGCGTATAAGTACTTTCCTCTGTTTTTCGTTTGTTGTAATTTTGTTCTACGCAAGTTTCTAATTTCGACGATGAATTATATCTGAAATGACAACTTTGGAGAGGGCAGATGGACGAATTAGCGAAATTGTTGAAATTAACCAATGCTCAAAAGGGGTAGTCAGAATATAATGGAGTTCATGGCTGTTTGCCTGCCTCCTTTCGTGCAGCTCGTTCTACCGATTATTCTTAAGTAATCAACATTCTTATGCATGGTGTTTCATTGGGCTAGCGACAATCAGCTGCCTTTGTTACGCGTGACGTAAGCATGACAAATCCACATTTGTATGAAAGCATCAAAATCTCACTGTGGCTTTTGGTAGACGGATCAGCTGACCTCTGAATGCAGCGGTTCCTTGATCCCGTAACGCTTGCCCTTTGCTTACCCCAACCGACAAAATTAAGGTTGGACGGCGTTCTTCTTGCAAAGATGTGCGTGTCTCAAGCTTGTAAGTGTTCGATACTCCGTTGCACAATTTCCGTATTAGTGTAACGTCGTGAAACCTGAGGAAGTACCAAGCTAGTCTACTAGATTGTTTAGCGCGTTTCACACATTTGCATCATGCAGGCTGTTCGTTACCTTGTTCAATAAAGGCGTCATCACATTAAGTGACCGCGTACACATATTCGCCAATTTTGATCCACAGTAACATGCTTTTTTGCCATTTTCAGGTTAATTTGACCTCGACCTTTATGGCAAAGCGTCCTAGGCAACGGTCTCCCTTAGTCGCCTCTCCCGGTGTAACTCCATTGCTGAAAAGCGTGAGTCATCTTCTTTTGCTCTGCGCATTGCGCAATGTTTGTTTGCTTACATCAAAGTAAACTGCGACCGTCTGTCATTGTTCGTTTCGCGTGACGCTAAACTCATCCAACTGGAGCAAAAAGGCAAGAATTTCAATCATGTCGGTATAACCTGGTGTTCCCGTTAGCTGACAACTTTAGTTAACGCCCCTACATCATGAGTAGAAGAGCTCTGATTCGCACTCCCATTCTCATGATATAGTATGAGCTGAGTAGTGTCGAGCATGGCACGTTACTCTACATAAGCCTTCATACCTCTTCTCCTTCCCCTCCTCAATCAGGCTCTACTCAGCCCAACATTGGATTTCCGTGTGCGACGAACGCCAACAAATGGTGGACCGAAAATGTTCATTCCCTTTCCCTGAGAAGCGTATGCATCATATCGAGGAGTGAACTGAATCATCTTGTAAAATAGTACACTGTACATACGTGAAATTTATTCCGCATGCGCCTTCATTCGTCCCGTGGCCACCTCTGTCATTCGTCCTCCGCAATTCGTGTTCTCTCGGAGTAACATGACCTTTGCTTTGTGATCTTTCTCTCCATTCATCTGTTTTGTTTTCCAATTTATATTTGCATTAACATGCTAGTTTCCTATCACACATAATTTTCTTGCTTGTGAATGCGAAACTAACAGGTTTTCCAGCCAACACAGTGCTCTCTAGACACAACCAGTTCCATTCGCTTCCATTTTGTGCGAAATCGGTCTGCCGGTGTAGGTGACACTGCGTGATATTGGTTACTAGATTATATTGATGGGTTAGGATGGTAGTTGAGCTTCTGATAGGTTGCTGGGAAATTCCTGCCCAGTAGTAGTTCAGTATGTTCTTCGCTACTAGTTGGGCACGCTGTTACAAATGAGGATCGGCACAATCTCATCGGGAACGCCATATCGTCTGTGGAACCTGGCTAATGTTACCACTGTCCCATGAGTATTGCTCACCTCCATAGGCGCTCTCGGCTTCTAGACCCAGGGAACGCTGGCATGAAATTATTTATTAAAAGTAAGTTTTACGTTATTCGAAGAGAATTACTTGCATAACTGGAGGATCAGTCGAGTTTTATCGTATCCATCGCTCACGTCGAGTTGCCAAATTTGAACGAAGGACAGGGATTCGTACCGCCTTTGAGTAAGAGGGTAAACCCAAGTTGAAATCCCGTGAGCTCCGGGAGAAAATATGGCTGCTAAATATTACAAATAGAAATAGACATAAATGCGGAAATTTATGAGTTTAGCTGCTGTTAATGCATTAGAAATAAACAAAACATTTATATAACTCACAAGCGTTGATTGGGATTTATGCAGCCTCTACATTTGCGACAGGCAGTTTATCTGCTTGTACCCTGAAGGGCGTAACCGACTAGCATGGATTATGACTAAAAGATTGGGCTGAGACAATTCCGCTCAATTTCCAGACTATAATCTCTATGCATGCATGTGTTGGCTGGGAAATGCTGAGGTGCCCTGGTGAAATTTTGATATGGTCCACCGCAGATGCGCCCGATCAATCAACAGCACTACATTTTGGGCATCGGCTTAGGACCACCAAGCTTATAGCTGGCGCGGTAGAAGGTGGCACATCAACTGCTTCCACGCACGCCGCCCCTCTAAAGATGGCACGGACGCTCTTCAGGCTCCTTATTGTGGCATTACGGACAATCCCGAGTAACTGTTGATTGATATGGTGGGTAGAAGATTTTGGACAGGTGGACACTAGTTTATAGGGTGTGCTTTTGATCCGCACGTTTGATCTAACGTTCTGACATTCTTGTGTTGAGCTTACGTGCCTCGTAGTTGAAGTGCGCAACATCCAAACGGCTAACCCATTTCCCTTCAACACTTTGTGGCTTAAGTTTAGCTGTTAGTTGCAGCTTGTCCTTCTGAATCCACATTGATTAATAAATACGATGATGGCATCCGCGAATTAGCAGCACTATCTATACAGCTCCAGTAGTGGTGGCTTGCAGCCATGTGGGATGCACCGTGTTTGAGTGGGGCTAAGTTGACTACCATTCAGGCAGACAACAACAATTTGTTCCTTAAAGAAGTGGACTGCCGATTGGGCCTTTTCAGGTTCTTCCGCTAAACATTGTTCGTAGAAAATAGGAGTGTGAGCACCACTCATGTCCTCGAGAAGTGATGCAACAGTTGCCTCGAAGCGGCTTCAAAGCGCACGTTGGATATCATCATAATCAGACGGTCTGAAATGACTGAATAGCACTACGCTTCTCAACCTGGGGGTAATTATCCCCAAATGAGTAAAATGGAATTTTACGGGGTAGATATTATTTTGAGGATTGGGTTATCAGTTAGTTGCTCATCCAAATAAAACCAAATCCGCTTGAAACAGCGGGAAACTAATTATCCAACCCTTATTGATTAGCCATCACTGACCAATCATTAATGAGTGATCAATGAATTAGACTATTTTCGGTAATAAATTTATTACCTGAAGTACAAACACAGGCCGGCAGAGTATCGCAACTAGTTGCTGCCTCTATCGGCTGGATCATCGATAGTTGTTCTTTTGATTCACGCAGTTGTTCGCCGAGTCGAATTACAGAGTGAGTTATCACTAGGGTAGATGCATAAGATGGCCGATAGGTAAATGAGTGAACGAACTAATACGTGGTTGAAGGGACAAAACGGTCGATCAATGTTCATGACGTATTCAAACAGGGTGGCGGCAGGAACTTGTCCTTCGGGACGGACTGGGAAGGGATGGTTGGAACAATAAGAAACCACCGACATCTGTTCATATTTGGTTAGGGATCACGCATCAAAGCAAGGAGCCGAATGAATTTGGTGCACGAATCTAGATGTGCATTAGCTGAAACCGCACCAAGTATACCAAAAATAGGTAAAACCAATGAATAGAAACCACCTCATTAACGCACACTTCCTCTTGATTACTTATAAGTGGCTCAAAAATTTGTGTTCTCTTTTAATGAAGGATGAACAGTAAACAAAATTGTACCAAGTTTCCATAATTTAAAGCTAGAAAGACAATCATTTATAGTTAATTAGATTGTTAAAGTAAACTTTCGGAAGGGGAATCTTTTATCCCGAACCCGAATTGTGGGTAACAGCCTCAGAATAGTTGAGAACCTATGTTCACTAGAAACCATATATGTGCACGACAAGTCGGTTACACGTGTCGTTTTCACCAAAGCTTTTGCTGTTACTACATTTAAGCTGCCGTATAAATGCATCACCCTCGTACAATGAATAAGGATTTACAACGGTCAAAAAAAAGGGATTGTTTCACAAGTCTCGTAGGATGACCGGAATGAGGATTATAAAATAATGGTCTAAAATGACAACAAGAAAGGAGCATTCTGATTTAAGGTGATTCACCGGGTTAATCACGTGAAAGTATATGCTGCTCTGCTCCCTGCCACATGAAGTAGATGGCTATTGAGTACACTGTTTTGTTTGTGTTACTTTGTCTTCTGATGGAATGGGATTATGTCATGTAATGTAAATTGGATAAAGTGTAGTGTAATCGTAGAGGCAAGCTGAAAATTTCATCTTCTTAGATACACGCTCGATTCAAAATGGTCTGTAGCCTTAAATCTTTTCCTAAGTCATTCAACGGCAAATTTTGTAATACATATAACATTTGATAGACCAGTAAGCATGCATATTTACGTCCTAATCATCTCTTCTAATCGAGCAAATCGTGGAGTAAGTTCTGGTATTGAACAACCTTCATATTCGGACTTCCTAGATGCACAACCAGGCAATTCACAGTTAAGTATACTCTGCTGGCGGTCGGATATTGATTTGTTAGGAAATCTAAGGAACCAACAACACGCAGTTATTGGTCGGACATCACTCAGCTTTTGGATTTCTTTCCATGCTAGTTATATTGTGATATTACCAAAGTATATGATAATATTATCGTGCTTGCTCAACTTCAGCCGTTGTTCATCTGTTTGGCCTTTCAAATTTGGTATAAATCTCACCATAAATATTCATCGGGCATCAACCATTCTGCTACCCTGATCATGCGCTTGCAAGGTAGCGCACTTATGTAATTCGGCATGTTGGGCGTCCAGGTCTAGACTGTAAGTCGGTTAATCTATCAATTATTCGATGCAGAGACTTTGTTTCTTCATCTTCTGCTATATTCCCGAAGATTGGATCCGATGACAAGTTCCTAAGCTACAACTATTTGAAAGAGGGTACAACCAAGTGAGGGTAGAGAGGCTCATGTCAAAGTAACGAATTTTCTGTAGTGCTCGAAGACGTAATAGCAAGGATTGTTCGCTATCTTATTTTTATCACGCTAAACACCCTACGGGACATGTCAAACACCTGCTTTTTTACCCGTTATAAATCATTGTTCATTGTATTCGGCTACATACAAATACGGACTACTACAAGACTCCGCGTACACACCCAGCTACTGCCCTATGCAAACAGAATGCATCGTAAGTAAAACATTAAGTACGAATGCCACCTAGGTCGTTGCAATCACCATGCCCGTGGACATTTCGGTTTACTTTCATTGAATTAACAGTATGATATGGCAATAGCAGCTGTCTGTCAAACATGACAGTGGCAGCAAACATATGAGTCATAAATTCGCCTCTATTGTAAGAGCATAAGGAAGAAATAAAACTCCGTGATACTTATAATCACACAGGTACTGTACCTTTAACAGAGCGCAAAAATTGTGCAACTATGTTCTGAGGTGCGTGGTACTGTGTGAAGGCTTCATTAGATAAGCTGGTGCAAGCTAGATGATCATTCACTGACCACTAGCCAGATGGGGAACTGTTGGTATCATGTAGCAAACCAGGAAACGTAACCAATCAGAAGGGAAGGAAAAGAAAGCATGCAGCAGTCAAAGGCACTGAATTCTACGGCGGCGTTCGTCCTTGTCGGAATACTTCTAATACGTAGTACAGAATTTAAGCAAAGCACGTCCGTCAGACCGCAGTTAGGCAAGGACAAGACACAGTACCAAACAATGGGTAGCGGGCGAAGCAGTGCGACAAGGCTCATATGACACACGAGTTAAAGCATGAGTGAGGAACTATTGATTGAGCAGTGCGAGGAAAATCAATAAGAACGCGGTGTGGCTGAAGTAACTAGTCAATATCAGTGACGGATGTAACACCCCGTCTTCCCATGGAGAAAGTCATACAGTGGGAACGCAAGGTTCAACAAGTTTATGTACATGTTGAGATTTGCGAAGTGGTAAGCAGTTTGTTGTGTACGCAGTATGCTGAATGGTTTGGTCCACCGTCGGCTGGACTAAGTCAGATACAAATTGATCTGTGCAGCTATAGACACAGTTTCTCTCATCAAGAGAAATATACTATAATAAAAAATAGTAATATAGTGTCCTCATTT